TACAAGTAGACACACTCACACGTACCTTCACCAGATCCACCTCGCGTGCCTTGGCGAAGCGTTTCTCTTGCGCCGCTTCTCGCCGCCTCTTGGCTGCCTCAGCCTTTGTTTTCGCGTCCTCTTTCTTCTTCACAATATCCTTCAGATCTTGCAGGAAGGTCTGTAGGGGTGGAGATGCAGACACCAGTGTAAGGGCTACTGAGAGACTAGTTCAGGTATTGACGTATATCGTATATGAATAAGGGAATAACTACTTCTTTAATGGCAAGGATCAGATCCTGCAGGTACGTCTGTAGGGGTGGAGATGCAGACACCAGTGTAAGGGTTATATGCAGGTGTTGTTGGTCACCACATAATATAATCTAGCTACGGTATGTGCGTGTACGTGTACATGTTTCAGAGGGGTGATAGGCAACGTCATACATCATATACTACTATCGATATTCCTATGTACAGCTGCGCAATTCCAATAAAACACACTACGTCAACATATATAAACACATACTATTGTAGTCGCACAGGTTCAAACATCAACATCAGTAATTGGGCACATATACAGACACACATATACACACACAGATATATCAGTGTGTGCGTACCGCAAGTTGCTTTGTATACACACAGATGTATAAGAATGCGTACATTCACAAGTTGCTTTGCATACACACACAGATATAAAAGAATGTGTACATTCACAAGTTGCTTTGCATACACACACAGATGTATCAGGATGTGTACATTCGCAAGTTGCTTTGCATACACACACAGATGTATCAGGATGTGTACATTCGCAAGTTGCTTTGTATACACACACAGATGCATCAGAATGTGTACATTCACAAGTTGCTTTGCATACACACACAGATGTATCAGAATGTGTACATTCACAAGTTGCTTTGCATACACACACATGTATGAGAATGTGTACATTCGCAAGTTGCTTTGCACACACACACACATGTGTCAGAATGTGTACGTACCGCCAGTTGCAAGAACATTTCGTCGGAGGACACTCTGTTTGGATCTGCACCGAAGAAGGTCATGGCCTCTGTGCACGCCGCCGTCATGGTGTTGAATTCCTGAAAGTGGGTTCAAATGTGTGCATTGAGATTCTTTCCCGATTTTACAGAATAAGATGAGATGGAAGACTACACTAATATTAAACTGAAATAGGTTTAGATGTTTACATCGAAATAGGACCCCAATTTACAGAGATGAAACACTACACTAATATTAAACTGAAATGGGTTTAGATGTATACATTAGAATAGGACCCCAATTTTACAGAAATGGAAGACTACCCTAATATTAAACTGAAAAGGGATAAGATGTTTACATTGAATAGGTTCCCAATTTTACAGAAATGGAAGACTACACTAATATTAAACTGAAATGGGTTAAGATGTTTACATTGAAGTTCTTTCCCGATTTCACCAGAAGTAGATAGAGATGGAAGACTACACAAAATTAAACTGAAATGGGTTTAGATGTTTACATTGAAATTCTTTCCCGATTATACAGAAGTAGATAGAGATGGAAAAGTACACTAATATTAAACCGATATGGGTTTAGATGTTTACATTCAAAATTTCCCCGATTTTACACAAGTAGATAGAGATGGAGGAATACACTGGTGTTGAATTCCTGAAAGTAATTTTGGTGGTTTACATTGCAATGCAATTCTAAAGGCAGATATAGATATGATAGTACATGGGCGAGGACATCTACAAGAGACTTTCATCGACGAAACCCCTTCACCCCGCCAACCCTTCACATACATACATGCACCCTTAGACTTGTGGCACACACAGCAGCCACACACACACACACACACACTTAGACTTGCGCACACACAACAGCAGACACATACACATACACAGATTTACGCAAACACAGCAGCAAACTCAGACAAACACGTACCCCATTCAGCTCCTCGACGCGACTCTCGGATTTGTTGATGAAACGGCCAAAGGTGTCTCTGAACATATCGTTCATATCCAAACTAGGCAACTCCTTAACGGTCTTCTTCAGCGAGTTCATACCCTGGCGTAGCAGCTTAATGTCCTCCACAACAGCCTGGTTGGACAGGGCAGAGGCAGCGCACACTGCAAAAGAAGTTGCGTTGGAGTGGTTAGAAGGGGCATAAGTCTCGATATATATATGTACATATATGTACATATATGTTCATATACGTACATACATACGTACATACATACGTATATACATACGTACCTATACATACAAATACACATATATATACA